TTATTTGCTCTATCTATACTTATTATTATTCTTTTATTTACTGCTCTTTATAGCTCATTACTTGAGGAAGGTTATACACTATTTAACATTACGATACAAAAATGAAGGCGCAGGATACAGTTAGTCTAATACAATTTGCATCACAATATATTATTATAATAATAACAATTCGGTTTAAAAATTAAACAAGGCTTCCTCTCACCTTGTGCAGAAACAATTAGTATACTTATAAAGTAACCAAATAACAATTATAACCAAACAAACGTTATAAGACAAAGAAGATTAATGATAGTTATAAGGAATAATTAACACCAACTACTTGTAGAAGGTCGACGTTATACTTATCTACAATTATTTTGTTATTAAAATATGGTTGCAGTAACAAGCAACAACATTTAGATCAGAAAATCATGGCCAGTTTTTTGGCGCGACCTTAAAACGACAATGGGTTAGAAAAACACCTACTCGTATTATTTCATTCGATGTTAACGCATAAGCATCGAACGTAATAAAAACTAAGGTTATATTTTAAGATCTTAGTCTATTTTTTCTGTAAAACCTATTTATATTTATATATTCAAAAAGTATCAAAACTTAAAACAAATTTAAAGATATAATTTTGATATAGACTTATTTTTTATTGGATTCATTCATTACTAAAGCTAATATCGTGTTATAAATATTAACTAAACTATTTTATATAATTGACAGCTGTATACCGCTATTTTTTTTTCTGCCAGAAACATTTAAACTTCTTTACATTGTTTATGACCATGTGGTTCCGGCAAAGAATAGACCACTACTTCCTTTCCTGTGGGTGTCGTAGGAGGCGACTAAAGGAACTTTATAGTAGAGGAATGGATAGCAGCGTCCTTCTTAAACCTCTCTAATTGCGATTTCTAATCCATCTGCCAATCATACACTGCAAGTACTAGCAAAACTCCTCTTATGGAGAAGGATTATGTTCAGCAATGAACAATTAACAACTGAAATTATGACACTGTCCCTAATATGTATAAAGTTATCTTTACAAACTCTTACATGTATAACATTTGTAGGGATATTTTTGACAAAAAAAAAGACCTCCTGTATTCTGCATAATTATAGAAAAAAACGTCGAAAAGGAACCTTTCTGTCTTTTTGAAGTCCTTTAAAACTGTTTTCCTTTTTTTTAATTTTTATCTAAAACTAATATAAATAAACTATCTTTATCTCTGTGCATCTTCTACCGAATTTATCATGGGGAGTGTTCTGAGGAATTGTTCGGATTGATACCTGCTGCTGATTTTCACCACCGTACAACCCGCCACAAACTAAAGTTTCATCCCAATCATCTAGTGGCGGTCTTCCACCGTGCGTTTTTCAAGGCACTTTCTTCCACGCACAACCATTCTTTGGAATCAACTTCCAGCAGCAGTATTTCCGAACCGATACGACAACATAACCTTCAAGAAAAGAGTATATTCCTTTTTAAAAGGCCGGCAGCACACCTGCAATGCCGCTGGTGTTATGGGTGATCATGGGCGGCGGTAGTCACTTACCATCAGGTGAGCCGCATGCTTTGTTGTAAAAAAAAAAAAAAAAAAGTCGTTTTTTTGGCGAAAATAATACTGTAATGCGCTTGCAATGACGATTACATACAAGTTAATTAAGAACAATCCTTTGTCACACACACATAAATACACATACATATGTGTATGGTGTGTACGTATCATAGGATCATTAGTACTTTAATTTCTTAGAAAATATGAAATACCTACAGAAAATTCTTATATCTAAAACATATAAATTAGATAGCGTAATACCAGATATGAATCTAAACCTGAGAACAATGCAATATTAACAGCGTATTTTCACTAACACTTTCACAATGAATTGTCACCGGCTAAATTATTTAACTTGTTTAAATCCCACGCTCAGCTTTGATTTGTGACTAGTTTAATGCGACGGTGTTGGTCGTGTTACTTATGGTTCGCTAAGAATACACATGTTCCTCTCATATATGTCTCTATGTCATCTATTCATCATCATTATCATCTCAGTCATTAACTGTCTACTGTTGAACATAGGCCTCCCCTATAGACTGCCATAAAGAACGGTCCTGAGCCACCTGTATTCACCAACTTCCTGCGATGCAATGTCATCTATAAAAAGAACTAAAAATCCATAAAAATACAATCAATACAAAAGTTCTTCATATATTTTAATTTGTAAAACTAATTGGATTTATATAATTTTAGTCGCGAATGCTCGACTAGTTTCGGAACCAAGATTTGTGGAGGTTGACTTAATATGGTATATTTATGGCAATAGTGCTGTTAGACACTACTACTACTATCAATCCCTGTCTTCCCCTATAGACAACAGTTACCGCATTCCTTTAGGCTGGACGTCAGCTTGCTATTTCCAACTTTATAAAAAATATACATTTATCTAAATTTCACTAGGATCCAAATTGACTCTTTTGTGAATGAATGAATGAGTATACTTTATTTGCATTATACAATATAGATGATATATAATATGCTTGCTTAGAGCAAAATATGAATTACACAGCATTTCATACACATTCATAAATAGAATTCTTAAAACTAAGTCAAGTCTTATGTATATCACATAGATAACGTAATGCGATTGTTTTACTATCTTGCCGACACTAGATTTCCGAGAAACGTGTAATATTGCCCATTAAATGTATAAGTTGCTTTCTTTGAAATGAATCCAAATATATTTACAATTATTGTTTCGCATTTATAGCAAAAACAAGTTGCTATGTGGACTGTGCGAATTCTTTATTTCTACCAGTCGTAGGAAATTAGGTATATCTTTTAATGGAGGATCCTACGATATACATATAAAAGAGTCTTCTATGCAAAATCGCGTGCCTTCTACACCGTTTGGTTTAGACTGTAAGTTGTCTTTCTGTCAGTCAATAAGAGTACGAGTTTTAATAGATACACGTGATTCTAATTTCAAATAGAGTATTTAGTTAACTGTTATTACTAAATGTAATATTCAATTTTCCTACATTTCGCCAAGGTTATTCGATCCCTTGAGCGAGCCTTTGGTATTGATTAAATGTTGTTCTTTACTAAGAAAAAAAAAAGATTTTTTTTATTTATACAACTTATAATGGCAAACAAACTGACGGTCCACCTGATGGAAAGTGGTAACCGTCGCTTATAGACATGAGCAGTAGCATGGACATAACAGAGTATACTGTTTCGCCCATGATACCCCCATGCGGTGCCATTCCTGAGGACTCAGGTGTTATTCTTCTGTATCCAGTAAATTCACGCCATATCCCATCCTTCAAACCGAAACACAGCCATGCAAACACAACTGCTTCACGGTAAAAACACGAATGGGACAGAGGTACCCAAGCAATCGACTTTTGTACAAAGTCTCCCTCTGGTATCGATATCTAAACTAAGAAAATAAAGCCATAAAGCCAAGATATTTGGCTACGAGGTAATAGGCTCTTACGGAGAGATACTTTCCTAGTAGAGGGATATGAATTGTTTATTACCTACGATGCATTAGTTGCATTGTGATTAAGACATATCAACAATCAAAAAATCTAACAAATATCTAACTAATGATTATTTGTTGAGTAAGATGGTACGATTATTTAATAATCTAATAACATTAGCCTGTAATAATTATTCAATAATTAATTAAGCGACATATTTCCACTACTCATTTATATTGTTTCTTTTTTCTTCTTTCTTTGGCTATTAGAGTTTTCTTATAGTTCTTTATATTTTAAGTTAAAATTTTAACAAGACAACCAATCAAGAAGTACTAAAAACAGTCATTAAAGTGAATGTATTATGACTGTTTTAAATAGGTTGCAGCTCACATGAAATGCAATGGATTATGCAAGGATGAAAGCGACTGGAAGTAACTCTTTGTTTCGTAATGAAATGTCCTTTCACACGAACCAGATTGAATAGCGACCAGAAATTAAGTTGACAATAAATAGGTATAATATTTTTTAATGACTTGAAAACGGACGGATTCTCAATTTGATTGTTTTGTATATCTTATGCGATATTTCTTATTGTCAACTGAGTATAGACAGATTTTGATAACAGATTAGTGATACGACCTAACTTCGCATGGGTAGATAGATTTTTCGTAAATAATATCTATATAAAGCCTGTTATTCGGTAATAAAGTAGCTTTTATAGGTGAAGGATTTTTTATAATCTGATGAGTGTAGAGTAGTTTTTGAGTTTATCCTTTACAAACAAAAAAATAAACAATTTTTTCCTGTTTATAATACTTACTTAGGATTTCTCAGAGCATATTCTATATTAATTTTGTAATTGTCGATTTCACTGTTTATTTTTTGGGAAGCAAAATCTACTCGTCACAGCATCGTACTTTTTGCTTCACTTCATCAATTGGTTTCAGCGACTGAGGATTTTATGCTAGTGGCTGATGCTAAAATGATTAAGATTAACGAGTAAGTTTAATCCCTTTAGGAATTATATTCGTTTTTTTTTTAATTAATTTATTTAATCTGTTATTATTTAATTCATTTCTAAAATAGATTGCTTGTTTCTAGAAAATAAATATAGAACAATATCTCAATTTATTAGATCGTTTCTTGTCGTGTGTTAACTGATCGTAAAACAACACAAAATTAAAATGTGAAAGCTTTAAAGCATGGTGAAGACCTTTTACGCCGGCGTGCATGCATATCGGGTAACTGCATACATTATTGTAAGAGATTAAATTACAGGCTGGGACAAAAGAGCGCGGTACGAAATGTACTTGGAAAGTCGTGATCAAGTTGACGTCATTGCGTTAAACACCATCGCGTTTGATTACAATTAAATTTTATTTTTAATAATTTAATTACGACTGTAATTTCTAGTTAATAATGATGAAAATAGAATAGTAACCCTGTCTGCGATGGCGGGGTACCAGTGAATGATGATAGATGATTATGTTGATCAGCGGGCCTACCACGAATGTAACTGTCCGATTATCGCGCCCGCAACGAAATACGACCGAAATTCTAATCCAAAGGAACCATGAAGTTTCTTCGGAATAAGTTATTTCGGACGGGTACCATAGACTATGTTCGTGAATGAATGAAAGATGAGAGGTCTTTTATTAGACACTTTTAAATTAGAAAAAAAATGAAGAGGTATACTCCGGATAAAATAAAATGTACAGTCGTTTATATTTAAATGTATGGAAATTATAAACTTTTAAAATTAGTAGTATTATATGTCAAAAGGAAACGTCTATTTGACTAAAAAAATGGCAGAAATAGAAATTGGAATAACGGTACTGCGTGTAACAAATATTTTCGTTTTTATTTTTTTTTATAATCTTTTAATTTATAAAAGGTAAGATATTTACAAGTGCTTTTAAATGACTATTTATTGTTAAATTTGTTCGTTAAACATCAATGAAAATGAACATCTAATAATTTTGATTTTATTTATTAGTTTTTATATCCCAACGCTAACACATATTTATGCATTTAGATGAGTAATCCCACTGTGGAACAAGTAGATACCCTTCTGACATTTCTAGAAGAGCACCAGGAGTTAGCTCGTGGCCGCTGTAGAAATGCTGAAGGGCGAACAAGATCCAACCAATTATGGGTTCGTCTCACAGACGAACTCAATGCATTGGGTGGATGTACTAAAACTGTGAAGCAGTGGCAGAAGGTAAGCACTTTTCTGATATTTTTTCAATTATATACATATATTCTTTATTATACTCGTAAAAGATACAGCGATTAGTTTAACAACTTGTTAGCAAAGGTGGGCTTATGTCTCAAAGAGAACTCTTCCAACGATTAGCAAGTAATCAAATGTAGGAAACGTTCAAGAACAAAGAACTTAACATTAATACAAAGTAAATAAAATACCATTAAAATGAAATTACACAAATTGTAAATACATATGTATAAATATGCAAATTTAATATATAATAATATATATACTATATAAACAAATACAATACATACAAAAGCAAAAGCATAGTATTATTATGTATTATTAGTTAAAAAGTTGAAGTCTCACTTTTCTTGAAGGAAGTAATTGAATGACTATCTACCTATACAATATTCTTTCTTTATTATTATTAAATCTTTTCTCTTCTTATTCATTTTCCTTTACTTCTTTCCAGTCTGCAGAGGTTACCTGTATGAGATTGCTTTTAAGGATAAGGCTGCTAATTGTTTTTTCAATGTGACCTTGTAATTTTTTTGTTTCAATAAGTTTACTGCTATAATCTTTTGAAGATTCTATTTTAGTACATGATATGCATTTAATATGTTAAGTAAAACCATTATCATTTATTACAGTACAATTTTGTTATTAAATAAAATTTTCCAATACTCGTACTTTATAAATTTTAGGTATGGGCTGACAAAAAATATTTAACAAAAAAAGCTGCTGCTGCTGCTCGAAGGTCTGCCAGAGCCACTGGGGGTGGGCCATCATCTGCTGAGCCTTTAAACCCCATACAAAAAAGAATATTGGCTGTTATGGGAGAAGGATTTGGGGAACCTCAGTCGGATGCATGTGTACCTGCATTTCCAGAGGTATGTTGTAAAACCATATATTAAAATAGTGCTAACTGTTATCTGTAGACATATATAACATCATGGATATCATCAAAATACATGGTGATTCCCATGGTATTCCTCGTGCACTACCATTCCTGTTATTTCTGTATATAAGCTCATAGCCTTTTCCCACATTTCAAACTAAAATACAGGTATGCAAGAACAGCTGCTTCATAGCAGAAATATGAGTGGGACAGAGTGGGTACCTCTTGCTCTACCTCAGAGCAGATGACTGTTGTTGTTGTGATTAAGACTGTCTATTGCAATATCCTGCTAATATTTTATGTGTCAAAGTAAACACATAGAATACTTAATATACTAATGAGTGAAGGCAAAGTCACGGGAAACAGCTAATGTATATAAATGTTTTTAGGTGCCCAGCTCAGCAGATGAAGCTCCATCACAAAATATAGAGCAGCAACAGCAGCAAAATCCCCAGCAACCGATGCAACATCACGGGTTCATATTTTCTAATGCATAAATATAATTAAGACAAGTTGCCTTAGTTATATTTGTACATTTTCAAAACATTTCCGGCATTTCATAATGTTGATTGAAACTATTTAGAATGATCAAGTATGTATTTATAAATTTTATGTTAATTGATATGTTGTGGTGATGACCAAAAAGATGAATGGACTGTGTGAAAGATGACGTCCATAAGAGTGCACTTAGGTGTAATAAATAGAGAAAATAGTTGGTAAGACATTTGATGACCAGCGCTGCATTATCCATTAGTTAGTACAGGCAACTGCCATATTCAGTATATTTGTATTTCTAATTTTTATATGTAGAAAAATATTATAGCAGTTTTTTGTGAGCCAGATTTGCATTGCCTGGGAGTCCTGACATGGATTTTTCAGATTGCTGATGATCAACTTTAAAGAACGTACTAAAAGCATGGAAATAAATTATTTATTTTATTATAAGTAACACTGCTGAAGAAAAAGATGATAGTGATGATATTATCTTTATAATATATCTGTCTTCCAAATGCCTCTTATTATTTCATAAATTCAATTTAACTTTTACAATTTTATGTATACTCAATTCAATATATACACAGTTTTTCAATGTCAACTAAGAAGTAAAGATAAGACAGTACTAACAAATAACACTATTACTTATACTGTATTATTGATTAAAAAAATTATATCATAAATAAATTATTGTTATATGAAAATATTTCTGTAAATATTAAGATTATTAGTTGTGGGGGCTTATAGTCCTAATCACTAGTATATTTCTAGTCATCAAGTCTGCTATTAGTACCAATCATACATACAGAAAACAATAATGATAATAATTATTAAAAAAAAAAAACTTTTTTAGAACTTCAACGACTGCTACACGTCCAGAGCGACGACGCCGTCGAGCAGACGCCATTGGATCTGAACGCAGTGTACGCAGGCGTCTGTTCGAAATGGAGGAGCGGCGAATCGCAGCGGAGGATAGACGAGTGGCAGAGTTAGGGCTGATTTGCGAAACACTTCAGGAACTGAATGAATTAATAAGGGATGGATTGGAGGGGATACTTATGGAATTAAGACAAATGAATAGATAATTTTTTTTTTTTTTTAAATTGTTAATTGTTGTTGATTTGATTAATGTTAGTTTGTTGATTTGTTATATATATATATATATATGTCTTACCAGTTTATCAGATAGACACTAGTCATTAATTTAATGCGCCTTGAACTAAGTTATTTAGTTTGCATATACTTATACAATATTTTTCTGTTTGGGTACATTTCTTATTTCTGATGTGATTCGGTTTGAATGGAAGGATATGGCAAAGAAATTACAGGGTATGTAGACAACATCATATTCCAGGAATAGCAGGACCACTTTGTCAGATGAACCATCAGTTTATTTGTCATTCTAAGTATCATAAAAAATATGTATATTTGTATATTTTTAGTAGAGATAATCTAATAAACAAGAGATGCCTTTGAAGATATTTATTAAACCTCTTTCAATGATAATTTTTTAAACATTTTATGATTTGTATGTTAGTCCATATTTAGCTTACTATACTATAAAACGGATTTTTTTTGTGAAACACTAACACACAAATAGAAATTTTAAAAACGTCACATGAATGTTTTAATAATTTATAATATTTTTGTGTTATTTTAAGAAATGTTTAATATACAATTTTGATTTTACTTTTATCTATATATACCTACATTTACGTGATTATAAAATAAAAAGATTTTATTTTAAAAAGTTTTTAATTTTGTAAATAAGTAATGCTTTAACTTCTAATTTGTATATACCTGAAACAAAAGAAAATATATTTAACTGTGAGACTTGAAATTTGATAAATGCACTTGATAGCTTATTTACTGTGTGCTTAAGGAAGGTTATAGACTATTCAATATAATATCAGCTAATAACATTAACATAAAAAAATACTCAAATACAAATTAATATTTATTTATTGAATCATGAATTCTGATGTTTGTATTTTATGGGAATCGAACCCTCAACTATCAAAAGCAGCTGTATGTCAAAACACAAGGTCATCAAATAGGTATTAGCACAATTTAAAATTGATGGTACTAATAAAATAATCACATGTTTTACGATAATTTCCACTTCTACCTGATGGATATTAGAGTACTAGAGAAATTTATTGTATACTATACCTAATATTTGAATGTTTCTATCTAGATTGCTCAAGCAGCTGTATTAAAGAATTTCTAGCTGTTCTCCCTCGATCAAGTGCAGCAGTGGATGATTGATGCCACACTGTAGCTGAAGGTTGCCGGGCTGACTCATTGTTTATCTCTTCAGATGACAAATCTGGAGTCGTCAAATTTTGGTCTATACACATATTGTGTAAAACAGCACAAGCAATACTAATTCTTCCTGCTGCTCTTGGAGCATAATGCAGTTCTCTAGCTGCAAGAAGGCATCTCCAACGACTTTTTAATATTCCAAAGACGCGTTCTACAGTATTGCGGGTGCGCTTATGCCGGGAATTGTATCTATCCTCAGGAGAGTCCTCAACAGCGTTTTCATAGGGTGTCATAAGGTATACCCTTAAAGGATACCCTGAATCACCTATAATAAACAATATATTTCTATAAATCTTATAATTATTACAATAACATAACACTTGATATTATATGATAATATAATATCAAGTATTCAGTGGCAGCTTAGTATAGGGTTTTATTGCAAATTTTTCCTTCCCTTGCATCAGTACATATATATATTTGTCGTTTGTTCCTATAATCATCTTTTATGACATCCTAATAATGAAAAGGAATGAAAAAACATTGTATTCTTGTTTGTTCACCAATTTTATATGTAGTACAACTACAAAGTTAACAATAATGATTTATTTACCCAGCAAATAGGTTGTTTCTCCTTGAAGACTCTCCAAATGATCTTTGATCTCATTATGCTCCCAAATGAAAGCATCATGAGTGGCGCCACCGTAAGAGGCGTCAATATTTAAAATTTTTAAATTACTGTCAGCAATCTAAAAAATAGGACAAACATTATAAAGATATTTGCAGATAATGACAAATATGAATAACTTGAGAATCATTTATACACTATGCAAAGTTTTACATAAAAAATATCTACTGTGCAAGATTGTATTTGTTGTGTCTTTCTATTTCTATACTTAGTATTCAAAATAAACTTTTTTATATAAATTGATAAATATAGTCTTTGATAAAATATCACAGCCTCAAAAAACGGTATTTTTATTTAAATTTTATAAAATTAATTCACAACTAAATAAATAAACAGAACTAACATATTTATAAACACTTTGCATATTTAATAATCAACCCTGCCATGTGTTTATATTACCATAATAATACATTAAGTATTTGCACATAAAATGTATTATTGTCTCCATTTTGTCTTAATCAGGAAGAAACAAGTTGTGTCATTCTATATTTCAAGTACTATACGAGTACTAAAGATCTGTTAAAACATGAAGAGGAAATAAACTTTAAAATACTAAAGATAACCAGAAATGAAAAAGATACCCAAAATTATTTGTTAAATAATCTAGGTAAATAAAAGGTGTAAACTATTTTGAGAAAAGCATCCGACAGATTCTATTAAAATACTGTACTTACAACTTGAACATTCAAAGAGTGGTAATGTTTTCGATTGAAAAATCTCTCCTCATTGGTTGTTGGCCGAATAATAGCTACATGGGTGCAGTCGATACATCCTATAACACCAGGAATACCATACTGTGTGGCAAAACTGAAAAAGAAATATAAACTAATGATTATTTAAACAACAATTAACATTTATGTTGATTCATGAAATTAACAACTCCTCCTTCTATCAGAACATGATTTATGTGACTATAATAGGATAGCTAGATCTCTCATAATATCATTTATAAACTTACAGCTACAAATAGTTGACTGAACTAAATTAATAGTATATATATTATAAATTGACAAAAAGCATAAAATTCTATAAAGGTTAATATTACTCATATTTAATATACATAAACATACTTTCTCTTCAAAACGTTCCTGTCTTCCCTGGACTGAGGAAATCTTATATATTTCCTCAGTATAAAGGGTGTATTTAGGGCATCTGTTACATCCCTGATGCAGTTTGAGACAGACTGCTGCGCCATAGGGGTGTCTAAATTTTGTCCGACTGCACCCTGGTAGCAACCACTGGCATAAAAATTTAATGCAGTGAGAATCTAAAAAAAAATATGTAGATATGTGAATACTAAATAATAGGTAAATACTAAATCTTTTCATCTACAACATGTACATAAGTTCTTACTTTGGTTATTGGATCGATTGCTCGACTATTTTTAGGCAGGGATAATAATGGTACCACATCCTGACATAGATCCTCGAAGAGTTCCCGACTGAGTCTGTATTTAGATACAAACTCGAAGTCTGGGATGGATCTTTGGAGGTACCTTTTACGCATTTTTCGTTTAATCCTGCGTCTTTCAATTTTTTCTTCATTGAGGGCTTCTAAAATTCCTGCTAATCTTGCCATAATGAAACTAAAACATCAAAATAAAGTAATGCAAAGTTGTAGGTTATGTTGAACACAATAATATTTAAAAACACTAATTAGTTTAACTTTTATCACATTATTCACTGTAACACATTAACAGAATTATTAATTAATCACTTTTTTATATATTACAGCACTTATATATGTAAAATTCATACTTACGAAAGTAAAAAGTTAACTATTTAGGTTTCGTCTACTTCGCGCTTTAAATCACGATAAACGTGCTGTCAAAACGTCAAAATTACGTACGAACGGATACTTCATGGTACGATTTGGGACGATAGAAAAGCTATTCTCCGTATTCGGGCACGATTTCGGAATGAACGTTTTTCATGGTACGAATCACACGAAATATCGATCCGAAATTTCGGATTTGCACTTCGTGGTAGGCCCGCAGGTCAGTTCTCTCTTCATCCAAGCGAATTCATTAGGAATTAAACACAATGGTAACCAAGAATAATTACACGCAGATCAACCTGTAAGAGTATAATGCCAACAATTACAGGAATTGTTAGTAATACGGTCTAAAAGCCCTATCACTAGTAATATGCTCTGTCGAGTCGACCTCCACGCGGTTCCACCTGGAAACCATCGTGATTAATTATTGTGGAATTACTCACTATTATGGGTTAACTGAACTTCTTTCATCCTCATCTATTATCTCTCCCTGGTGCTTCGCAAGCCTATACCAATAGCGTATTCGGGGTTAATTTCCATAATTCCATTTTCATTTATTAAAAAAAATGCCAACAATGAGGACTAACAATCCTTTCACAACCCCCCGCCCGTAATCCCTAATGAGGAAGAGTAACATATATTAATACATTTAATAAATAAATAAATAATACATGTCGTACATAGTCGTCATACAAAGTCGATTGCTTGGGTACCTCTGTCCCATTCGTGTTTCAACCGTAAAGCAGTTATGTTTGCATGGCTGTGTTTCGGTTTGAAGGGTAAGATATGGCGTGAATTTACTGGGTACGGAGGAATAACACCTGAGTCCTCAGGAATGGCAACGCATGGGGGGTATCATGGGCGAAACAGTATACTCTGTTATGTCTATGATACTACTTATGTCTATAGGCGACGGTTACTACTTTCCATCAGGTAGGCCGTCAGCTTGTTTGCAATTCTAAGTTGTATAAAAAAAAATACATGTACTTATATACAGAGTGCATTAAAAATCATGACCATGCTTTCAAAAGAGTTCACAGAAACAAACCATAATATAATGACTATTTCATAATTATGTGACGTAAAAAAAAAAGATAAAAAATAATTCACTCGCATAATTCTGACACAAGAAAGTAATGAATTAGTTACATCGAACTTTCATAAGATCAATACGACTTCCAACCAATACAAAGGTTAATAATTACATAAATGATTATAGAAAAAGTTATTAAATATGCAAGTGCATGTTATTAAGCTTTGACCGGTGGAACATGATGATCTATCATCGTAAATGACTGATTAACAATCAATCAAACATCGACTAATCATGTAGCAAGTATAAGTGAAGACAGTGAAAGTGAATATACACAGTGTGATAGGAGATAGACTGTAATATTTCAAATATTAGTTAATAAGGCTTCTTTGACATTTCAATACGTGAAGGTGAGGGGTCAAGTACGTATTGCAATGAGAACAACCAAATTGGATTTGGGGATTCTAAAAAGCATTACTCGTTTTAAATTTATTTTTTTACTACATTCGTCAAATAATAACAATAATCTATAATTATCAATTGCTAGTGAACCCCAGCTTTATTAATTGCTAGAGTTCAATCAATTTCTGCGAAACTTAATCTAAATTGGATCAATACTTTTATGCTTGAAAATGTAAATTATGTTTTCAAGCTAAAATTTCTGGTCTCAAATTAATGTTTAAATTCTAAGAAATACAATTTCATATTTATAACATCAGTAAGGTTCTAGAAGAAATATCAAGATTTTTTATACAACGATGGTGGCAAACATAGCCCGTCTGATGTAAAACGGTCACTTAGCCCATGAACTCTTAAAACACTAGAGATGTCACGTGCGCGTTGCCGACCTACATATAATACTAGTAAGTACATATAAAAAATATTTTCCTTTTATTAATAACTTGTTTTAGCAAATACATTTTTACAAATATACAAGAAAACATGTTAAAAGTGGAACATCAAGAAACACTATTAAAAGCAGCCGCTCTTCGCCAGTTTTCTTATCTACAATTTTTCTCTTGTCTGATCATTGTACAAAGAAATCGGCTTCTATCATATAGGCCTACTTGATGGATCACTGACGTCTTAACACACTGTACTTGTATGTCATCATCAAATCGCTCGCGTCGAGCTGTCATTGCATAAAGCGTTAGGTAATTTGATAAAAATAATACGAATCACTTGTCAACATTGTGATGGTTGTTGGTACAGTTACAATCGAGTTTCGTCATTTTTTCCCATTAATTACATGGTACTGCTCATGTCTATAGGCGACGGTTATCACTTTCTATCAGGGGGGTTCTCAGCTTGCTCGCCAGTCTAAGTTGCATAAAAATAAAAAAAAGAGGGAGACTTTGTATAAAAATCGTTTGCATGTGTACTTTTGTTCCAACTGAGTTTCTGTGTTTTTATAATGGAATGGTCACCCTGCCTGCGCTATCGGTATTACTATCTATCGGTATCTATCAGTCTGGCGGAGTACCAGTAAGTGGTGATAGATGACGATTAAAGCAGGTTCGTGAGTCTATATGGACTGTATGGAAAGATGCTAATGTAATACCTCTCTCCAAAAATAATAAACCATTGACTTTCTCTGACTATCGCCCTATTTCTATACTCCCTTTTCTGTCCAAAGTTTTAGAACGCCTTGTGCATCATCAGATTTATACCTTTCTTTTGCGAAATTGTCTCCTAAATCCTTTTCAATCAGGTTTTCGCCCAGGTCATAGTACGACTACCGCTCTCATCAAAATATCTGATGACATTCGGCTTGGCATGGACAAGTCGCAATTGACGGTGTTGACATTACTGGATTTTAGTAATGCCTTCAACACCGTGGATTTTGACATTTTACTCGCCATTTTACGTTCTCTTAACATATCTCCAACGGCTATTGATTGGTTTCGTTCTTACTTGTCTGGGCGTCGGCAGCGTATTCGTATTGAGGATATTAACTCTTCTTGGTGCAACACGACTGCTGGCGTTCCTCAGGGTGGCGTATTATCTCCTCTTCTTTTCGCATTATTTATCAATTCCATTACACATAATCTTCGATCTTCCTACCATCTCTATGCAGACGATCTCCAAATTTACTCTCAAGCCAGTTTTAGTAATATCACTGATGCAATTTGTATCATTAATGAAGACCTTTCCCGTATATCAGACTGGAGCAAAGCTTACGGCCTCACCGTAAATCCATCAAAAACGCAATGTATTATTATCGGTAGCCCTCATTATATATCAAAATTAAATTCAATTAATCTTCCACCAGTAGTTTTTAACGGTCAAGTAATTAAATTTAGTACTAGTGTGAAAAATCTCGGAATACATTTTGATCAAACACTGACCTGGTCTTATCAAATATCTCAGTTAAGCCGTAAAATATTTGCTTCAATAGGTAGTCTCAATCGGCTGCGAAACTTTCTACCAGTCGGTACCAAGACTGCATTGGCACACTGTCTACTACTTCCTATTCTAGATTACGCTGATTCCTGTTATGTTAATCTTACAGAAGATCAATTAAATAAACTTGAGCGACTTCAGAACATATGTATACGGTTTATATTTAATCTTCGCAAATATGACCACATTTCTGATTTCCGCAATCAACTCAAGTGGCTTCCAATTCGCCTTCGCAGGAACTGGCACATCCTATCTCTTCTTTACACTATTCTTTTTCATCCTTCAACTCCCGATTACCTCAAAACGTGCTTTGAGTTTCATGTCGATTCTCAGGGTCGTACATTGCGCAGCGCGAGATCCCTTCGTTTAGTAACTCCTATTCATTCTTCTAAATTCTATTCCTATTCTTTCACTATCCAAGCTATCCGTCTCTGGAACTCCTTACCTCTTTCTATTAGATCAGCGCAATCTCTTGCCTCGTTCAAGAGGCAGGTAAAATCTCATTTCCTATCTCTCTAATTTGCTTTGACGTTTACTATGTGTGATTTATCTTGATCTATTTAGTATATTTATGTTTATGTATTATTATTTATATTATATATATGTATGTTTATGTATTATTATTTATATTATATATGTATGTTTATGTATTATTATTTTTATTATATATGTATGTTTATTTAGGTTATGTAATCTTATTTTTATATTTAGAATTTTTTGCATTTTGTCTGATTCCTTTTATGCATTTACTGTGTCTGATTTGCGCCATCTACCTTTCTCTCTGTACTTATCCATTCTTTATTCCAGGTTGTCTGTAAGAGATTGCTTGTAGCGATAAGGCCGCCTTTTGTATATGCACGTTCTGTATAAATACTCCTTGTATACATCTTTACTGTGCGCAATAAAGACTTTATTATTATTATTATTATCGTGACGAATTCCACTAGAATTAATCACGATAGTTTCCAGTGGAAATCGCGTGAAGGTCGACCTGATAGAGTGTATTACCAGTAATGAGGAAATTAGACCCTATTACTAACAATCCCTTTCCCCCCTGTTTCTGACATAAAGCAGCTGTGTTTCGGTTTGATGGGTAGGATATAGTAGAGAAATTACAGAGTACACGGGCATAACAACCATAGTCCTTAGGAATAGCAATGCATCAAGTGTACGATGAGAATCACAAAGTATTCTGTAATGTTTATGAAATTGCTCATGTTTATAGGTAACGGTTACCATTTTCTATTCGAAGGATTGTCAGTTTAAAAAGAAAGTGCCATCTTCAGTGACTTTATAACTGAACTTAATGAAGAAGTAGTAATTCTTACCACCCCTACTATTCACATTTCTATTTTCTTTTTTATTAAATACATCTTTGTCAGTGAATAATAAAGTATCTGACAATTAGAATCTATCTACCATGCGTGTTCATTCCACATCAGCAGTAAGGGCCTTTCTTTTTTTAAAGACTGGAATTTTTCCTCAGGAAAAAATTTGCGAAAAAGTTATGCCAATTTCAATCAAAACGAATGGCTTGTACAAAGTCCCTCTGGGGACTTTAAATGATATAAAATTTGTCTTGCTATGTTTTAGTGCAAATCAGATGTTGGCTGCGGCATTATGCTAATAGTAAGTTTAAAGCCTAACATAGCTGTTAGGATTTAAAAGGTAAATATGGAAACGAAAATATATGGAAGCATAACACCGGTTCTGCGGAATGGAAACACATGTGGGAGTATCATGTCCGAGGTTGATATCT